ATCATAGCCGCCATCAGAGCCGCTACCCAGCACACCAGCAAGCGGTTTGCCTGAATTTTATAGATCTACAGAGGATGTGTGACCTCACGGTGCTGGCCTCTGTTTGGGCAGTAGGTGTAGTTACTCGTTCTGGCACAATCGCCGTGTGACCCCCCGCCCCCCCCATTTTCTTTCGGTGCAAATATCAGCCGATCCAGTGAGAAAATGGGCCCATTTCCTCACTCGCCGGCTGCAATCCTTGGAAATATTCGGGCTGTAATAAAATCTGCGCTAGGATTTTTGCCGTTTTCTTCCGCGTAAGAAGCTCAAATACTTTTTTGGGCTACGAAAATACCACCCCCCCCCCCCCCAAAAAAAAGTGCTTCAGAAAAGGCCTCAAGCATCGAAATACGCCATGTTCTGATCGTACTTCCAAAACATTTGATGATCCCCCGACCAGCCTGCATCGCAGCCTCTGCACCTTCATGAGCACGCCAATCTTAACCGCGGGTACCAGCGGAATCCCTCAGAGGGGTTCTCCTCCTTCCAGCCCCAGGTACGCCAATAATAGTGCTCAAAGAGTTCGAGTTTGGTTGATCAAGTTTACGACGCAAACGTACGTGGATGATAGTTCTGCTATAGCCCTTCACCGCCGTGGCAATACTGAAAACCTTCAAGATCTCGTCGTGAAAATGTCGCTCGCTCATGGTCAAGCTCGCCACATGTTACCCTGTATTTATACGACCCGCAAAAACACCAGATGCAAGATCCAGGGCTGCACCAGTTCCAGGCGGAACATTTCCAGGCCCAGGCTTACCAAAATCAGGTGTGCGCCCCTTGCCTGCCAACGGAGTCAGTCGTCGCCTCTACTTTGGCCGGAAACACCATAACTTTCTTTCACTGGTTGCCTTCGCCAATCCTGCGTTCCTCTCCACTGGGTATATCTTCAACAAATCAATAACTACCAAATCAAAACACGTGAGCGCCTGTTGTGTTCAACTTCCGCCGTCGAGAAGTTGCATGCTGCAGTTGTCGGTAGACCGTTAATTTGCCTCTGATCACGCTCTCGGCGGTCGGCTGTATTCCTGCGGCGTGGGGTTGTTGTTGGCAGTCAAGGTCATATGTCTATGTGCTTCATGTAGAATTGAACAACTCCCAATACCCGCGTCGAAACTGACAGCAACCGGCGAGTCGCCGGCCCCTGCCGGAGCAGCACTTGCCACGACATCAGTATCAATCTGACCACTTACCCGTCCAGCGTCAGCATTTCAACCAGGTCCAGGTGAGCGTGACGAGTTGTGCTAACCACGCTTTCGAAGGGTGATGGCGAACACTTGGCGTGAATAGTGAACAGAACTATGCATACCTCTCGCGACGACGTAATTCTCTATGGAGCACCAATTGCGCCCCTAACTTGCTTGTGCCTGTCGTTCTCTGCTGTGTTTCACCAGATACCGCAGCACATGCACCCCCCTCAACACAGTGCTCACCATTCGTTCCATCAATCGCATCAGCAACAGCCACCGCAACGGCCGCACCAGGGACACCCTCAGCAGCAAGTATACCACCAGGGGCAGCAGCTGGACATGAGTCGGCAGACGAGCCAGGCACAGCAGATGCACATGCATCAACACCACCTGCAGATGCAGCACCCATCGTCTGCGTTCATGATGCCGTCGCAGGGTATGGGTACTGATCCAAGAGGGGCTCGAGGGGTTGGGCTAGGGGGGTTACCAGTGCAGATGGCAGCGCCGTATCGCGACGAGCAGCAGCAGCAGCCGCCACCGCCGCCTTCTCAGCACCAGGCGGGCATGTCGGCGCCAGGCGCATATGGTGTTCAGTCTCCAGAAACACACCACAAGCGATGAGGGAAATGCCGCTCTGTGGAGGTGATTGGTTGATTGCTGTTTTGTGCGACAGTCAGGCATTTTCATTTTTTCATAAGCTGTGGTGTACCTTTTTTCAGATAAATCGTATTTTGTTGTCACAGTAGGGCGACTTGTTGGCGATGCACCCTAAGGATTTCTTACAGGACTTAAATGTACCGTTGAGCTACACGCTACGTGGCACGCTGGTTCCATGGCGTACTGGCCCTTGCTGATGCACAGTTTAAGCAATCGGCGTTATGTGCCGTCTATGCCGTAGTGACGTCGCCACGAACCATCGTAGACAATCCAAACTTCTGGCCGCAGGTTTTATTCTTGAGTGACTTGTACAATATCGCAAAGTAAATTCACTACCTTTCGAGAGAACGTGCAATGAAGCTTGATTCGATCTTCTCTCGCGATTCTGTGAAACTTTCACGATGATGTCATTGTTGAGCGAGAAGTTGGACATAGTTGTTGCTCTGCATCACAGTAGCAAAGTGTGTGCGTTTGTGTGTTTCTGCGATGGTGCCGATCTAATATCTGCGTGATCGAACGATCTGTTTCTACTTGCGTCGTAGATTGAACATCTCACTGTTAGTAGTGTTCGTTTCTTTGCGAAAGGTAGGGAGTTCCACATCTGCGAGGGGTCTTCGATATTTACCGCCAACAGTAGGAGGCGTGTAGGTTCAAACCTTGGCTTGGTGGATCCTGCAAAAGAGACTCAAGGCATCATCACTTTGATGATTACCGCCGTCCCAAGAAGATTTCGGGAGACGTGTGTCGCTTGCGAAGTGTTGGAGTCGAGAACAAGAGCAATGGTCGAGGAGCAACTCTACTGGTTACAGGCTTCCATCCACGCGTGGATGACAGATTCTCCGATGACTTTTCGAATCTAACGTAAAAGTCTTGAACTTTTTTGCTGGACAGATGCATCACCAACGCGCGTTGGAGTACGTACATGCGGCGCACTGGGACAACGTACAGTAAGAACATGAGCCTGAGCCTGATCATATTCAGTTGATCGGAGCTGGAAAATGTTGCTACTGCTACTGTTTGCTGTGTCCCCGCTCCTTCTGATCTCTTCGAGTAAACTCCGTATCCCTCTCCTGCAAAGCAAGCACGGAATTGCTACGCCGTTGTTACTCAAGTTTAAAATTCCCTGAAGTACATTCGTGTAGTGGGAGGGTATCAATAAATAGCGCCGGTGCCAGTGTATAGCGCCGGTGAAACTGCTGGGCACAGAATCACCAAGTTATTCTGTACATTGCAATGCGCCGGTTCCTTCGAATAGCGCCGGTCGATGCGCCAGGCACATACCGGCGCTATTGAGGGCGCTCCACTGCTTAATTAAGAGAATACAGCGGTACATACATTTAACATAAAAAATAAAACGCAGTACAACGTATCTCTTGTATGGTGTATTTACTTGAGTTATTCCTTTCGCGCTCGTTCACACGAGTACCTTGCCCCGTTGAAGCTCCTCGGATCGATGGGAGGCGTTCAACTTTGTGCACAACGAAGGTCACGTTGGTCGTCGTGATCACACACGCTTCATTCGTCATCCGTTTATCGTTCCGTACCATACTTTCCCCTCGCTGCCTCGGCAAGGTTTTGCGTAGACATGGGTTGTAGTGAAGGGGGGGGTCTTTCTGGCGAGCAGGGCTAGACTCACCCTCAAGGGACCGATACCTTCTTGCTGCGGCGCACCC